GCGGAACCGAGACCAGCTGCATGCAGCAGATTTCGTACCCCCCCTTTCCCTATCCCCCCTTTCGTTCGGCCCGACAGACCCGGCCGTCCCGTCCAGCTTGCCGGGCACCGCTCGGGCCCACGTCCGCCAGAGGGCCAGTCGAGACAGCGTTGACCCTCCGTGGCTGTCTGCGTCATTTCTGGGCCTCCTGGAACCTTCTCCAAGGGCGCCTATGCGCGGATAACTTCGCGTTTGCGCGCCGCCCCCGACGGGAGAAGAGGAGGATGGGGAGGAATCGGAGCCGAAGCTCGAAGCGCGAATAACTTCGCGCCCTCCAAAGCGCCCCTGTAGAACCTTCTCGCCGCCACGGCTGGATCCGCCGTGAAAAGCCCGCAAAGATGGGACCAAGGAAAGCTCTGGGGACCGATTTTGACCGGATTGGGGCTGGGCGAAACGGCCGCCATTGTCTCAACTGGCCCTCCTCCGAGTCCGGGCGCATGGCGGCGCGCCGCTCGCAGGTGTCACGACCACCGTGGCCGCAGACACGAGCAGGACTTCGGCCGGACCTAGTCATCCCTGCCCCGACCTTCCACCAGGCCTGAATGCACAGGAGGCACCTGTACACCACTACCTCATGCCTGCCCAGGGCTATCCTGGGCCCTTGCACTGTGTGTGCGCCCCCTACTAGCTGAGGCAAGGAGGAGGCTAGTAGGGCGTATATACCACCATATTGACTCTGGTCAAGGGTGGCCCTGGCACTCGATAGTGGTGGTGTATAGATGCCTTCTGCGGGACTCCCGCCCTGGTCTTCCTCAAGGCGTACATCACGAGTCCAGACAGCGAGGCCATGGAGATGGACCCTATGTTTCTCGACTGCGACTGCATGAAATGAAGGTCAAAACGGGGGGACTGACCCACCGCCCCTGGAGTATTTCTTCGTTGAATCCCACCAGCCCTCTAGGCGGAATGGGGTGTAGCGGGTTTCCTCTTCCAGCTTCCAGCTTCCCCTTCAGGGACAAGTCATCACTTTTCTTTGCTACTGAACAGACCCTGCACTACCCGACCGGCGACAAACCCTAGACATTGCGACATTGCCAACTTCCCCCCACCAATCCAAGCAAAAAACGCGGCGAAATGAATATTGCACCAACTCTGGATCATGCGCGTGCGCCCCACAATCAATTGGCATTGATTTTTTAGCAATAACGGCGATGCGGGTCGACGCATTGCCTTCTGTGTGCGACGCCAACACTCCCCCACCAGGCGCTGCAACAAAACAGTACCAAAAGAACTTCGCACCAAAATCAGGAAGATGCGCGGGCGCCTCGCAATCACTTTGCGTCAAGGTTTGACAAGAACGTCGGGGGGCGGCGGCAAATTGCCTGCTGCGTGCAAGGCTACTTAACACTTCCCACCATCCATTGCATAATACTATGCAACATGCATTTCGCACGAAAATCAGGATCATGCGCAGGCACCCCGCGATCACTTTACATGGTGCCTGACGGGGACTGCGGAGGGGCCACCATATTGTCTGCTGCGTACAAGTCCACCATCCCTGTCAACAACAAGTGCCTAGTGATTGCGCGTACACACACTGTTTGGGGGTGGTGGCTAGGCAGAGTCACTGCGCTGGCGGAATAGCATATGTGGGATGCACGAAACACGAATTAAGCAGCGATGCGCGGGGGAGAGAGAAGGGACCAGGCGCGGGCAAGGGGAAGCGAGGAGCCGGGCCCGCTCAGAGGGGGCCGGCGGCGGCGGGAGGGGGCGCCGGGGGCAGGGCCAGCGGCGGCGCGGCAGCAGCTGGGGGTAACTAGGGGGCCAGGGCACCGGCGGAAAGCGAGCGCCCGGGGGGAAGCCCAGCGGAGCTGGGGGCAGAAACGTAGCAGCAGTGACCATGGAGCCGAGGTCAGGAGACATGCGAGGTGCCCTGAGGAAAGGGCCAGAGGGCAGCCTCCCCGATGAGGGGGCGAGGGGAGGCCTGGCGGGCGTGTGGAAAGGGCACGACAGATGGGAGTCGGCCCGCCAGAGGGAGGAGCATGGCCGGGAGCCGAGGAGGCCGATGTCGCGGCTGACCTGCAAGGCACCCCGGTGGCGAGGAGAGAGAGGCCGAGCAGCCATGAGCCAAAAGTGCCCAAACGGGGCAAAGCAGCCCGGGGTGCAAGGGCGGCGGGCGGATGCGAGGGCGGGGCCAGCGGGAGCCGAGGTCCCACGTGACCTGCGAGGCGCCAAAGGGAGGTCGGCCGAGGACCGCACCAAGAGGCGTGCCGCCGGGGGTGCCGGAGGGTGGGAGCAGAGAGGACACCAAGCGAGTGCAAGGCTGGGGGGAAGAGGCGGTAGCCAGGCGCCGCGATTGCCGAGGTCGCGGGAGATCTGCGAGGCACCCCATGTAGTGGCGCGAGCCAACATCGGCCCGAGGCGCCCGAAGCCGACAGACCCCAAGGGGAAGGGGGGCGGCGGCAAGGCGGGCGGGGCGCGGGCGCCCCTGGCAGGGAGAAGCGGCCGCACTGGGCAGAGGCAGCGGGCGGCCGGCCCGGAACCAAAAGCCTGCAGGGCCACCGAGCCGCCAAGGCGGGCAGACCCAGGGCCGCTGGGCAGAGAAGCAGGCGCCTTTTGCTCGGGTGGCGGACGCGCCGAGGGAGGGGAGCAAGTGGCCCGGGCCGAGATGGCCCGGGCAGGACCGAGCGGGCCGACGCCGTGAGCTGCAGGTGGGCGGCAACTCCAGCCCGCGCTCGGCCGTGAGACAAGGCCAAACGGAGTGCCCGCAATGGGCCCAATCTGGGCGGGGGAATGGGAACTCAGAAGAGTTCCGACAGCAGGAAGATGGCTGGAGTGGCAGAAGCCGCCTGGGGGCAGAGTGGGGTTGGGCTGCCGCCCGGGGGGCTGCAACTGGGTGGCGCACCAGCGCGGCCCAGCGGCGCGACTTCAGGCCGGCGCCCGTCGTCGACGGATGCCTCTCGTGTGCAGGTGTCTCCTGCCTGAAGGTGGTCTCTGGCGAAGCATGGGGCTAGGCACCGAACTGGTGCAGTGAACTGCGCAGGTAGCCGGCTGCAAGGCGCAGTCGGCAAGAGAGGGGAAGACGCGCGGACTGGAATACCCAGCCCGGACCAGGCGAGCAGAAGCAGCCGGGGGGTGGTGGGGGGCACCGAACTGGCGCATTGGAAAAATATGTGCGGCGGGCCGGAAGGCGGCAGGCCGCTGGGGGTAGTGGGCAGATGGGAGCTTAGTCCATCCCTGCTAGGGCAAGCGGGTGCCCCACGGGGTAGGGCGACCAGGGAGTTTTGAACCTGGTTGCGCCATCAGTATTGGCTGGAGGACCCCGAGGAGAGTTGCCTGCAGTAATCGTTGCTGGGCCAAGTGGAGTCGGCAGGCCTCTTGCCCTTGCCTTGTGGGGCTGGGCCTTTCCCTTTTGGACTTGCCGCTCTTGGATGCGGTACTCCTTCTTTCCATCTCGCGGTCCCAAGCGGTTCGCCAATCGACTTCGACGCCTCGGTTCCAGCAAAGGTTGCGGACGCCGAAATTATGCTAGATGAGTTGGGTGACGAAGCCTTCGCAGAAGTCCTCAGGCAAGAGCCCTGGGTTCAGGGTGGACCCGGGGCGCCCTGTACGGTGGTCGCAGGCCGCGTTCCAGCCGATGACTAGCGTAAGGCCGCATTCCTGTTTGAGGCGGGTGGCGACTTCGTGCCAGTGCTCCTTCCGGTCCTCCATACAGCGTGTCGGTGGGATCACAAGGGGGGGTCAAACTGCTTGGCAGGATTGCTGCCCGGTGGGGACGGTCAGGTCGGCGCCAGGGGTGATCACTACCGCTGGAGTTGCCATACCCGCCAGGCGCACGCGTACACACACACACACACACACACACACACACACACACACACGCACACACACACACACGCACACATGTTATAATGCTAACAAGCCCGCTGTCGCTTCGCAATGGCTTTTGACACATGTGGCGGGGGTCGATAAATTGCCCCATGTTGCGCATCTGAAGCGCGAGGCGCACCTGGCATGTGCGGCGCACCTCGCGGGCGTCGCGCACCTGGCTGGCGTCTGCATTCGTTCCCGACGGTTGTCGAACGCAGCCCCTGCCTATACTGAGACTCGGGCGCGACTTATGTTGTGGGAGGGCGGGTGGGAGTGAGCGAGAAAGCTTCTGGCGGTCCCGCTTGGAACTCGACCCCTCCACCTAACCCTTACTCCTGGGTCTGGAGGGGGGAGCAGCGGGTCGCTGGAGCGTCCAAGATGGCCCAACATGGCTCCGAGAGGGCCTCGGAGAGGCTTAAGATAGCTTGAGATGGCTTTAAACATGCCCCACGCGGCAAAAAGACTGCCCTAAGGCGGCTCCAAGTGGGCTCCCCAAGGAAGCAACCCAGAGGCCAAAGTCCTTCAAACACCGAAGGAACATCATTGTGTGTTGTCTTCTCGCCTTTTCGATTTTGACGGCCCTCCGAAGCCTCCGGGTGGCTCCACGAAGGCCCAAGAGGGCCCCGAGAGCAGCCAGAGGACGGCCCCATAGAGCGGCCAATAGCGCTGCGATTTTAGGAGCTGCAGAGGGGGCCTAATTGAGTACCCCCTTCTTTGATCGATCTCCTGCAAGGAGGCCCGAAGACGGGCCAAATTGGCGGAATATGGCCTCCAACACGACTCCAAGGTCCCAAGAGAGCGCCAACGCGGGCCCACATGGCCTCCGGGCCTCTCACGACCGCTCCCCAGGAGCCGAGAACCATTCGAAAACCTAAACCAAATCAATGGCACGAGCCCTCTGGCCGTGAGTGGTTTAGGGCGTCCCCTCTTCCACCCACCCGCATTCCCAACGTTCGGGGAGGGCGTCATCAGCGTTCCCTCTTAGTGAACGCCCCCTCCCCAAGGCGACTGGCAGCCACCCCGAACCCGTGCGGGCATCCATGACAAAACGTCCCCCAACCACCACTGTCAGAAGAGCATGCAAAGTACACTACATGCAAATTCTTGGATCATGTTCGTTGGGCCCGCGAGCACTTTTTGCTGTTTTTTGAAGAGGACGGCGGGGGTGCTAGCACACTGCCTGAGGTGCGCAGAGCCACCGCCACTGTCATGATTGCGCCGGACCAAGGGCATTTGTGGCGCCGGAGGGCAGGCACCAGGGTCGAGGAGAGCCGAAACCACGGCGGAGGCAAGAGATGCGAGGGCAGGCGGGTCGTGGCGTGTCGGGAACAGAGCCGCGCCAAGGAAGATGGCGGCGAGGCAAGGCACGCACCAAACTCGGAACATTCGGGGACCTCGCCGGACCGCAGAAGTTGCGGGCGACGGAGCGCCGTCCTTAACAATGAGGCCCCCTTCAGTGCAATCACTGTCTGGTTGAAAGGTGCGCACTCGAAGATTTTACGCGGTCAGGTCGAACACCCCCAAGCGACCCTTGCAAAGCGCTTTCCGCGATGAGACAGCAGCCAGCAGCACCCTGGAAGGTCAGGGCAAGTCTAGTGGAAAGAGGGAGGTTGACGGTGTAGAGGCGGACAAGATCAGTCATCGTCCTCCTCGTCTTCGTCCAGCCCGACGTCCTGTCAGAGTGGGCAACACTGAACTGAACCAGAGCAGAAAAACATAACATCCCTGCAATGGCTGTTTCGTGAACGCATAGCACCCGCTAAGGACGCTGGGGGCAGCAGTGGCTTCACATTTGGCTCGCAAGCTGCTATTATTACATCCATCTGTGTATGCAACTATCTGTCAACCATTACCGCTGTCCATGCACCTGTCATCCAAGAAACAATACACAATCGCTTCACAATTGCTTCAACAATCAATTAAGAATTGACTGGCACTTGATCCACACTCGATTCTTACACCCAGTCTACCAAGGCGGACACTCATCGCACAATTTCTGCACCAGGGACAACAAACTTAGGTCACAACCGATCCACGATTGACTCACACTTGATCATTATTGTTGCGCGATTGTTTCAGATGAGACAGGGGTAAGCAGAGGCGGATCCGCTTGGTGCGCACTTGTCTGTTCGCCGTCCCAGTCATGTAGGCAAGGCAGGGCAACATAATCAATCGCCCTTGGAGTTTACGCATAGACAAAAGGGACAGAGAAGCGCACAAGGTCTCGTGGCAGAGCTGGGTCTGCCAGGCGCACACTTGTCCAGTCGGTCGCCCAGTGTACACCCAATGTTGGAATGGAAGACTCAAACGCTAGAGGGGGGATGGTATGATGTGATAAGGCGACGCGGCCATCAAGGCCAAGGTCCGACCCCCGACCCTTGGTAAGCTCACAACTCCACGCGAGCACGCTCCCACGTATTGCCCGCATGTGAACTCAAGAGCAGCACGGACATGGGCCTCGCAACCTGGCAGAGACGCATCACGGACGAGGGCACACCGGTGAAAGCTCAAAACAAAACGACGCCGCGCAGTGCAGCACGGAAGGTGGATCGCGGGCGGTGGCCGCAGCCGGCTGCGGGAGAGGCACGACAGCCCGTGGAGCGCGGCGGCGTCCTCGGGCCAGTCGAACACGGAGAGCCGGGCGCGGGCGGCACCTGCCCGAGGCTGCAGGGCTGCACGATTTCGGGCCAGGGCAGGCTGCCTCCTCCTCCAGTTCCCCCTCCTCGTCCCCTTCCAGGACGACTGCCATGCCGCCGGGGGATCGACTGCAGAATTGATTTACACCAAAATTGACCTTCACGTCGACTCTTCAACAATAACACGTCAACCATTCGTGTTTCCGCGAAAGTTCGACGAATTGCCCGTGTATTCGACAAGAAAAATAAATTCTGGGGCAAATCAATTATGTAATCGATCCCCTACTCGAGCAGTGCGCGCGGACGAGGATAGATCGGGGGTAGCCGAGAACTGGCACCTCTGGAAAAAAAGCATCGTGCGCCGCGGCCGTCTCAGGGGGTTCAAGAACGCTCTGAGAGCGTTCTGGCAATTCCTGCAACCATTTGATCCTCGTGCCGGGCCTGCTCGACGACCCTCCCTCCCTCCCTCCCTCATCCGCGATCCTTCCTCCTGTTCCTCCACCGGAGCCTCTGTGGTTCCCTTGGCACCCATTTTGAAGCCCCTTTGGGCCCTGTTCGGGCCTGTCTGGGCGCCTCCTGGGGCCTCTGTACGGGCTGTTTTGGGGCCCCTCGGGGACCCTGGGGGCTCTCTTGGGGCCTGCTGGAGGTCTGAGGGGCGATCCGCGGCTATATATATATATATATATATATATATATATATATATATACACACACACATCCTCGCTGGGTTTGCGTCGTTCGTTGTTAAAGGCGGCCGTCTGCGGCGACGAGCACTACGGCTGTCGCCCTGGCGGGGGGGGTGCGGCTCAGCATCTGGGAGCACCCACCTGCCGCAGGGAGCGCCAGGCGTTCGCAGCGGCAGCGCTCCACTATGCTGGGCATACACACCCGCCAGGCGCCGAGAGGAAAACGTCCAAGCCGCCGTAAGCTTGGAATGCCGTCGAACAGTGGCCCTTAAGCGAGCCTCGAACACGGCTGCTGGGTCAGCGGCTTCTGAAACACGACGGGCGTTCAAGGCACAAACAAACGCATCCATGCAAGCGGCACGCTTAGAAATGGCTGTCGTATCATTAAAAACAAAAGGGGGTACAGGAGCAAAACCAATGAGGATTCAACTCGCGACGGAACACAATCAACGTTCTACCCATCCTGTTCCTGAGCAAGGACCCGAAGCAACGAATGTCAGAGCATTTCCGAAAACAATCGGTGTCACTTCGATCGACGGCACGGCATCCGAACGGACAGCCACGCGGTTCACTATGACACCGGACGCTAGTGCAAATAGGGCCAGTCTACATTCGCAGCGGGCTATTCCCAAATACATGGATGTGGCCAGACACACTCGCTTGATGTTCCCACACATACAGGTAATATGTTCGGGCCGAGCTTAAGGACAGAAGTGATGTGCAAGGCGGAAGAGGGTGTGCTGTACAGGTTCAGCCCTCCCAAAAGACCTAAAGTGCTGATAAAACGAATGTTGTATGTTAGGCTCCCCCATATCCATGCCCAAAGCAATCCCAGAATACCAGTCCCGCACGGACCGCATGTGACTCAAAAAACTGTGTTCGTGCCGCCCCCGATGCCAACGGTACGTAATATGCTCGAGGCCTTCAGGGGCCCGATCGAGGTCATCAAGAGCACCGTGGAGGCCATGAGACTTGATGATATACCGGATCGCAGCAGCACATGCAACGGCGGACAACTTGACAAACTCTGTGGGGAAGCGAATCGTTTTGAACTTCGTGGCGATGTTATAAAGTATTGCGTTCCCCGGCCCTGAGGCCACTCTCATCGCGCACTCGCGGTAGAACCGCTCGGGTTAGCATCTGGCGCGTATAACAGCAGGCGGAATAAAAACTGGGAAACACACAGCACACGAAAAGCGGAAGCAGACAGAGCAATACCTAGACCGAGCTGGCGTGCCTGGTGCACTCGCGCGAGGAAACTGTGGATGACGGCTGGCCAAATTTCCGGGGCCGCAAGCGGCCCAATGAGAAAGCCCAGGTATATATATATATATATATATATATATAACCGAATCACCTGCAACTGGCCGAGCGGTGCACCAGACGACCCCAACACAGCTTTGATCGGACCACTATCTCTCGTGCAACACAATCTGACCTGGCACTTCTTGATCTGGAAGCGGAAGCTAGCTATGGAGGAGAGGCACCATCGCCAGAATCAGCGGACCTAGGTCGGCGAGCCAATTCAAAATGTCAAACCCAAAATCGCTGGCGTCGGCGAGCGACAGACCTAGTCGGACAGTGTACTTGTCTCGGATCCATGCTAGTAGAGGGTGAAGTGCAAGCTCAAATAAGTAGGAACACAAAAAGCAGGACAGCCTTGCTTCACACCCGAGCGCACAGACACCGACTGAAACCGTTGACCCCAACCAGTGGTTATAGCACTATTTGTAGCGTGCACCGTGGCAAAAAACTGGGCCATGTGATGTGCGACGCCCATCGCTCGTACGACAAAGAGCAGCCAACGCTGCGCGAGGCTCGGGAACGCCGAAACAAAATCAGTAAGCAATAGCCCTCCGTGCTTGTCATCGCTCATGTGTCTCATCATCCCTGAGGCTTCCGCCCTCACTACGTTCTCCACGATGTCCCTCCCTGCCACACACTTCTGTCCCCCCCTATCAACAGCGCCGCGTTCTCAACTACGGGCGTGATACCAGCGACGGCCAAGATCTTCACAGCCGTGCTCCCCATGCTAAGCGGGCGCGTGGCGTGCGCGTCTCGGGTGAAAGCGTGTCCTGGCATATCTCTCACGTCCGTCCCCTTCGGGGGGGATGCCATAAGGCTACGCACCATATTTGGGGGGAGCGAGCTGGCCGTCCCTTTTTTTACAAACAAACACGTGCAATACCAACCGCAAGCCAATCGGACCGCGCACGGCTGGGCCCAGACAGCATACGGGAGCCCGTCGGGCCTGGAGCACTGCGAATCCTTCCCAAGATCATCTTATAACGATCCGAGTAGGGAAGCACCCAGTCATGGTTCAACGGTCGAGACACAGTTGTGATGTACGGAGAGATCTCGTTCTATTTAATTGCGCCGACCTCAGGGCCGAGAAAACAGAGGCCCAATCACCCCCATAACCAAAAGCAGCTGCATCATGAGACCCAGCCGGGGCGCCATCAGTAGTAGCAACCACAGACCCCAAAACAGCACACTTGCGAAATGTTCACCGCAACTGTTTACGACGACGAAGGCGAGCAATTTGGGAACGCTTATTACCCTCGGGGGCCCCAGAGCGCCGAATCCCGGTTCCATCGTCACCGAAGATCTGGCGATACAAGCAGAACGCATGTTGAGACAATACGTGCAAATGAATACAATAAAACTTATCAGCACCATGAACACGCAGGTGCGGGTAGCAACGCAATGCTTGCTGTACCCTCTGCAATTCACCTGCGAGCACGGCACGGAAAGCGAACAAGGCCCAGTAAGGCCGTTCCTGCTGGCCGATCGCGAGTCGGCAGCGAATCGCGCCACGAGCAACCTTGCCAACCTCGAAGCAGAAAACGGTTTCGCAGTAGATAGCTGCGTCCAAACATCCCCATGCCCAGGGATCTGCTTGACAAGGTCCTCCAGAGCCCCCCCCGAATCCATGCAGCTTTGCAACCCAATGGGGGGACGCAAGGATACCCAGGGTCGGGCCGAAAACGCTCAAACACAGCCCTAACAGGAATATGATCACTTGCCATCGAAAGCCTCAAGGTCCCAACCGTAAAGTCGAAACAGTCAGGTCCCGAACCAGGGAGGGGGTCAGCGAGGTGTAAATCCGATCGATCCGCGAGGTGGTGTCAACGGCGCGGCCTTTCCTCCCTCGGCCGGCGTCGAGACTCTGGTAAATCTCACTGAGGTGCGGAAGCAGCGATGACAGGTACGAGACTGTGGCGCATCGCCTGCGGCGAATCTGCTCCCATCCCCTGCGAACCTCCCGTCCTCTTCCAAGACGAAATTTCACTCACCCAGAAATATAGGGTGAGCCTCGAATTCATGGCCACCAGCGCAGTGGCGAGCAAAAACTCGCTGTACAGTCATCAGAACGCCCGAGAAGAGAGCAACATAATCAGAGGTACTCGGCACGTGCAAACTGTAGACAATCAAGTTGCCCAAGGAACCACGAAGCATACTCTTGAGGACCCTCCCCGTGACCAGAAGCATATACTGGATGGAAGAGAAGAGAGAGGCAAAGACGGCAGAGATGGCAGTGACGATCCCTCCTTCGCGCACCGAGTCCGCGAAAAACGTGAACCCGAACACGCTTACAGGCAACTGGTGTCGGAGCTCGACCACATCCCCCTCATGTCCGTGTGTTTATTGTGCGGCAATCATATCATGTGTGTTGGCATAAGTTGATGTAATGTGCCTATCGTGTCGAGGCTCTCTTCGAATCAGTCTTCACCGACGCAAATCGGGCATCTGTGTTCCAAGTGCATATATAGAGAAGACCTGGGCAGGAGGAAAGAGAGAGCAGCAAGGGGGAGAGTGTGACACCTGAGCGACATGACAGCCCAAGTCGGCGTGAAAAGGGACGGCGCAGCTGCACCGCGCCCGCCTGTTCGACCGAAGCGATCTGGTCAAGGATGTCAAACTCGTTAAACAAATCTCGGTCACACGTGACCGTGACAGAGTTATCTTCTTCAACCTGAATTTTTTTGCTGGCACAGGGTGGCTCGCACGACGGAGGATGAGGACGGCTCCACTGAGCCCTGTACAGCTCTCATAGGCGATATTGAAGCCCTCTTGGGGCCTTCTTGTGGCCGTCTTGGGCGCCTCACTCTTGGGGGTGGGGCAGGGGGGGCGGTGCGAAAGAACGCATCGTGGACGAATCGCGCAACCTCCGGGCTAAGTATGGGACCCGGGAGAGGCGCCCGCGCGCGCCGCCCGTCACGCTTTTTCGGTGCTCCTGCTCCTGCGGCCCCTTGTACGCCGCCTCTGATCCTCCCCCTCTTCCTCCTCGACCCGCCTCTCCTTCTCGTCACTTCTGTGGCAGCTCGTGGGGACCTCTCATACCATCCTGTTGGCTCCTGCGAGTCGACGCTGGGACGCTGATCGATGCTAAGCGACGCTAAATCGACACTATCCCATCGATTACCTGACACAAATCGACGCTGGTCGACGCTAAAAACGGAACTCACAGGGCACATAAGGCTCCAAAGATTTGCCGCCGAGGTCAGAAGTCAGAAGTCCCCCCCCCCTCCTCCTGGCCTCCACCACCCCGCGCCCTCCCGAAACGCACCTCCCGAGGCCTCATGCGAGATCCCGAGGCGCACCCGAAGCGCACCTCGCCCGGGCACTGCCACCACCCCGCGTCCGCCCCAGGCGCACCCGTGAGCTCTTCGTCGATAGATCTGGTGACCGCCTCCGCCGGGACGCGCCAGGGCGTGCGCCCACGGCACCGGGGCGCTGGAGGAAGAGGACGGATGGAGGCGAAAAGAGAGTTCAAGACCAAGCCAGGACGAGGACAAATGCGAGTGAGGATAGATCGAGAGTCTCTGAAATCTGGCGGCTCTGGAAGATGTCTCGGGCGCCGCGGCCTTCTGAGAGCGTTCCAGAACGCTTTGAGAGCGTTCTGGAACGCTCTGGAACGGATGTATCCTCGTCCTAGCCCCGTCCTAGAGTAACCTCTTCGGGTGCCAGGAGGGTCCCAGGGGGTTCTCGAAGGCTCTCTAGGTGTCTTGCGTGGTCGGTTCTGCTGGGTCGGGGAGGGAGAGGAGAAGGCTACTGTAGAATGCGATGCATCAGGGGCGAAGGTATGAAACATAACTTTTACTATCCCATGTCGGTCTTGCCCCCGTCTGAGCTGGATTATGTGAGTTTACGCTGCAAGGCTCTCTCATGCCCCGAAGGTCGTCCAGCCGCAAGGGAAAAAACGAAGGGAAAAGGGTCCTTATGGAAACGTGTGCTAGAGTCCTGGACCACCAAATTTCCCTCAAGATTCAACCCTCATCCTGAACAATCTTTTTGCGGCGCCATGCTCACGGCACTACAATCAAAATTCCCCCAAAATGCGCCAAAATGTTAAGATGTTGGGCTGCTCAATTCCGAGGAAAATGCGATAATGAAACTGGTAGTAGTGCGCTTCGCAGGTCTGAGCACTGCCGTGGGACTCCCGGTCCCAGGGCTAAGGGGGGAAACTTACGCCACTGATGCTGCAATGCACATTCTCGTCACACGTTCCCTCCACATGAGTCAAACATATATGTCTTGTCAATACGGCGAATGCTCGATGGAAGTGCAGTGTCCCGTGGGCCTCTATTCGTCAGAGCCCTATCAACACTGAAATGCGAACCAATGGTCAGATCAAGCTTTGACCGCGTTACGATATACGACACAATTCTTCTCTGTGCAGTCCTGCGTGCGACTCCATGGTGCCTTTCTCGCCGCTAGTACGCTGTCCCTCCTGCAACTCTCAGTCGATCCCACTCTCTGGAAATTATCCCACGTCGGAGCCAAGACACTATTATCCCGTCGCCCAACATGTTCATTGCTCTGAACATCGATTCCAAATCAAAGCAGTTCGGGATCGTTACCGCTCACGAAGGCCACCCTGAAGAATCAACACGCATACCACTTCCCCCTCTTTTCCTCCAACTCCCGCCAATCCTCCCTGTCCCTGCCCCCCAGTCCCCGCGCCCCCGGGGCCGGGATGGGATTCCGTTGAATCTTCTTACATCCTCTGATGGACCTGTTTTCCACCACCACCACCATAAGTTGGAGGGGGAGGGGGAGGTGGTCCTCCTCCTCCTCCTCCTCCTCCTCCCCCTCCTCCTCTTCGTCCTCCTCCTCCTCGTCCTCCTCCTCCTTCCCCCCATCCAACTTATGGTGGTGGTTGTGGAAAACAGGCCCATAATGCTCGCCCTCCACGTACTTCCACCCTCCCCCGATCCCGCCAAACGAGCGTCCTCACACCGCTCCCTCCCCATGCACGCGGCTCCACGTCGCCCCCCACCCCTGGCCTTGCACGCTCCCCTGCACGGACAGGACTGGTTGCCAAGGCCACCCGAGAGGACACAAGCCATGAAGAAAATACGTACCTCGACGGACGTCAAATGAGGAAGAGGTAGTTACCGATTCCGCTACCCACCCCTTCCTGGAAGGCCCTCCTCCACACGGCCGTTTTCGGCATCTTCTTTTGGCGGCGCGCACAAGGGGGCAGGGGGAGGGGGGGAGACTTCTGGCGAGGCCGCTCCTTGGAAAGCGCGGGCCCTACATCTACAGACATGGCCCATGCCGTCTATGAAGCAGGGGTGCTTCTAAGAGGCCTTCCCCCTTACCCCCACCCCTCTGCGCGTGGCCGATTCCTGCCTCACGTAGAACAAGTCACAGGGGCACCCCTGATTTTGCGGGGCCAACCTGCAACTCGCACCCGACTGTGCTGGTCCGTCTGTCGCATGTGCACCCGTGCTGGCGGGCCTCGATCGACTTAAGCTTGATGGGGTTCTGCTTGCAGAAATTGGCTATCTTGGCCACCAACTCCCTGCGGCACACACACACACGCATACGCACATTCGCACACGCACGTACGCAAACACACACACACACACATACACACATACACACATACACACGCACACACGCACACAGGCACACACACAGGCACACACACACACGCACACACACACACACACACACACGCATTTTTTGCGTCGGCGACTGGGCATAGGGACTACTGGGACACAGACAACTGGAATTAAACCGCAGCGCGTGGGAGGGGGAGACAAGAAGCCCGAGCGGGAGGGAGAGGAAGCCGGGCCCGCTCAGAGCAGGGCCAAGCGGCGGCGGGGCAGGCGCAGGGGCGGGGAGCCAACGCCGGCGACGAGGCAGCAGCTGGGGGTGGGAAGTAGTCCCAGCAGAACGGAGCGGGGGAGGCGAGTGTCGGCCAAGGTGCCCAGGTCCGGATGACCTGCGAGGCGACCTGAGGGCGGCCGGCCCACCGAACAGCCCCAAGGCGGGGGGCCGAGAGAGCACGAGAAGACGTGCGAGCAGCAGAGGCAGGGTCCGCCGACCGACATCGCCGGTGGACCCGCCAGAGGGGCCGGCCTGAAAACCAGGCAAAGGTTGGCGGCGGGTGCCGAGGCCACGGGTGGCCTGCCAGGCACCCGGCGAGCCCCTGGCGAGGGCCCTGCCCGAGAACCAGGCAAGCGGTGCGGCGCGGGGCCGCAGACCACCGCGGCGCGGGGCAGGCGCGGAGAGGAAGCAGCGGGCGTATATAAACCCGAGCCAAAACCCTGCAGGAAGCCGGCGATCCAACCTGCACAGGGCAGGGGATGCAGCGGCGGGGGCAAGGGCATCCTCCCAGAGGGAAGCGAGTGCGGCCAGGGCGAAGGCGAGAACGTAGAGGGGGGAGGGGCGTATCGGTCGCCGGGGGCGAGCGGCAAGACCAGCTCACCAGGGGCAAGCGCCAGGGCACCCCAAAGGCGGGACGTGGGCGTGCGGGGTGACTGACTCAGAGTCTACCCGCGTCACGCAGAGAAGGGGGCCGGCCCTAGAGGGGCAGGCGGCTCACGCGGCTCCACCTGGTGGGAGGATCCGAGGCAGCTCGCCGCTGGTGTGGCCAGGCATGGAGAACGGTGAGGCACCAGGGGCGGCAAGCGAAACGCCACACCAGGTTGGTGCACCAGTGGGCGCTGGGGGGTAGCACCGAGGTGGTGTGGTGAGGAGCGGCAGGCAAGGCGGAAAGCCGCGTGAGGAGGCGGGGATAGCACCGAACAAGTGCACCAAAATGCGATGAGAGACGATGCGGGACGCCGCGCGGGGAGCGCTGCCGCAGCAGAAGCGGTCGCACCGGGGGGTAGGTGCAGGGCGTCAGCGTCGTCGTCGTCAGCGTCGGCGGGGGTGTCGGGGTCGGAGTCGGCGCCGGCGTTGGCGCCGTCAGCGTCGGGGTCGGCGTCGGCGTCGGCGTCGGCGTCAGCGTCGGCGTTAGCGTCGGCGTCGGCGTCGGCGTGGGCGTCGCGTCGGCGTCGACGTGGGAATCGTCGGAGCCGTCGGCGTCGGCGTCGGCGTCGGAATCGTCAGCGTCGGAGCGAAACCACCGTGGCGAACGGTGGCGGCTTCGGCCGGCCTTTCTGGGCGAGGGTGGCCGGGGCGAGGCAGGGCGGGGGGGCGGGCGAGGCTGGCAGGCGGAGAGAGCGGTGGAGGCGGCGGCAGCGCGTGGCGCCGGCGTGGGCGGGGAGGAACAGTCAGGGCGGCGGCGAGGCCAGCAGGCGGTGGAAGCGGCGAAGAAAGGTGGCTTCGTGTCGGTTGGGGTCGCGGGTGCCGCCACCGCGCTGAGCGCAATACCTGGACCAGGCCGCGCTGGGTTAGACGCCTGTTTGCTGCAAGTATCCTTTTGACCCTGGCCGCCAGGGTTCCCTCAAATTAGAGAAGTCGTGAAAAACGTTTTCTGGGACGGAGCTAATACTCTCCCCATCCGGAATGCTACTGGGGTAGCCCTCGGTGCTGGAAACGCCAGCACCCGTCGCCGCGTGGGCGGGGGGGGGTGCCTCCACGGTAGGGAGTAGGTTCCCGTTGTGATGCCCGTCGGCGACGCCCTGCAGGCGGGCTGCCGCCGCAGCCCCAGCGGAACGCAAAGAAGGTCAACAGGCGCCGCCTCGTCTGGGCTGCGATGCATGATCCCCCTGCGCAAGGTGGTGCGCATGTGTACCGATTTTCGGCCGTGGCGACGAAAGACACCCGGGGCCCTCACGGATGTCCCACATCCCCCATTCCCCCATTCCACTCTGACGGAAGAGTCACCGATTCGCACGCGCTTTCCCTGTGCCCAGCGGGACCCAGGGGGGAGGGGGCCCAGCTGGCCGCCGGGTCTGGATCGGTGCAGCTGTGGCACTGCTGGTCGGTCGCGGATGGCAGTGGGCGCAGGTGGGTGCTGCTGGTCGGTCTGGCTCGCTGAGCCAAGGGTCGTGGCTGATCGGTCGTGGCGGGTGATGGGCCGTTGGACGGCGTGGGTCGTAAGTGCTCGTGAGGTCGCAGGTGGAGCTGTCGGTCGGTCCGAGTGTCTGCAGCCTGTGGCGTTGCTGGTCGGTCGTGGGAAGTGGTGGGCGGCTGGCCCGTCTGGTACAGCGTTGCTTGCAGCGTTGCTGGGGGGTCGCAGATGGTGGTGGGCGCTGGCGGGGGTTGCCAGGTCGGCCTGAGTCGGAGCAGCGCGTGGTGTTGATGGGCGGGCGCAGTGATTGGTGAGCTGCTGGTCGATATGGATCGGCGGTGCGAGCGGCGCTGCAGGTCGGTCGCGGTTGGCGCTGGGCTGCTGGCCACTTTGGGTCGCTGCTGCCGGTGATGTTGCTGGGAACTGCCGCGCCTGATTGGATTCCGTTTTCCGGCCGTGGCGACGAGGGACAGTCAAGGTGCGTACGATTTTGCTGGTGGATTCCACTGTCCGTGGCGACGAAGGGCAATCAGACTGATCCTGTCTGCACCGCTTGGCTCTGCGCCCAGTCCGGTCATGGACGCGCCCCGCAAGGGCATGCGGAGGAGTTCCCTGCAGAGGGTTCTTTTGTCCGTCGGGGGGGCACCCGGGGGGCGCCGCGTCGGGCAGGAGCTGGCGGCGTCCAGCGGGGGGTAAGAGGGGGCAGGGCTGGGGGGACACCGAACGAGTGTGCTATCGGTGGAATCGAAAGGGGCCGTCCCTGCGGCTTGGGCGCAGTCCCTCAAGGGCACGCCCCCTGGCGCGCGGAGGGCATTCTTGGACCTGAGCAGGCGCGTCACTAAAGAGGTCCTCGGATTCACCAAGAGGGGGGGGGCCCCCCCATCATGGGTTCTGCCCTGAGCAGGAAGGTCGGGGCCCTGGCTTTGCCCCGCAGGGGCGAGGGGAGTCGCTTCAGGATTGCCCCTGAGAGGGCCTACGCTAGCCTTCGCGGCTGGGCGACCGTTGGCGATCCCCGCCGCCACCACCATCTTTTTTTTCTCGCCTCCTCCGGGGGGGCGACTCGGGGTCGCCGCGGCAGGCCGGGGCGAGCCCAGCGCCCCAGGAAAGCTCTCGCAGAGGCGCGCAACAGCGCAGATAGGACCCTCCTGGGAAGAAGTGCCGACACCAGCCTCGGCGGTAGGAATCCCTGAAGAGGAGTCCACTGCGCCGGAGGGGCACCTGGGGGCCGCCGGGCGGGTCCTTCAGCAGCGTCACGTTCCTGCCGCAGGCCAGGACTGGCGGCGCCACGCGGGGGACAGGAGGCGGCAAGGCTGGGGGGGCACGGAACAGGTGCACCAGTGACTATAGTGGTGGAATGTGAAGCCCTCCCTGCGGCCTGGGCGCAGTCCCACGAGGGGCGCTCCCCGGCGCGCGGAGGGCATCCTGGGACCTGAGCTGGCGCGTCGCTGAAGAGGTCCTCGGACTCACCCGAAGGGGGGGGAATGAAGGATCCTGGGGGCCCCTCCGTCGTGGGTTCTGTCCGAGGCGGGAGCGCCGAAGGCCTTGCCCGACAGGGGCGGGGGGGGGTCGTTTCAGGATCGTCCCCGGGTGGGATGCCAGTGCAAGCGCTCGTGGCCGGGCGATCGTTGGCGATCTCCGTCGCCGGCCTCTTCTGTTCCTCATCTCCTCCGTCGGGGGGGGCGACTCGGGGTGGACGTAGCTGGGCGGGACGAGCCAGGCGCCCTGGAGACACACACACACACACACGCACACACACACACACGCACACGCATACACGCAGATGCACACACGCCCGCCCGCCCGCCCGCCCGTACGCACGCACGCACGCGCACACACACATACACACACACACTGACACTGACACTGACACAAACACACACACACACACACGCACGCACGCGCACACACACACGCACGCACGCACGCACGCACGAACGGACGCACACACGGACGCACGCACGCACGCACACGAAAGCACACGAACGCACACGAACGCGCACGCACGCACGCACGTACGCACGCACACACACACACATTCACACACACACGCAGCTTTTCTCTCTCTCTCTCTCTCACACACACACGCACGCACGCACGCACGCACACGTTCGTACGCACGCATTCGTACGCACACGCACGCACGCACACGTACGCACGCGAACGCACGCACGCACGCGCAAACACACACACACACACACACACACGCGCGCGCGCGCGCACGCACGCACGCACTCGCACGGAAACGCAAACACACACAAGCACACACACACACGCACACGCACACGCACACGCACACGCACCCGCACCCGCACCCGCACACGCACACGCACACGCACACGCACACGCACACGCACGCACCCGCACCCGCACCCGCACCCGCACCCGCACGCACGAACGCGAACGCACGCACGCACGCGCGCACACACACACACTAACACACACACACACACACACACTAACACACACATACGCACACACACACACACGCACGCACGCACACTCATGCACGCACACACGTATGCACATGCACACAGAAATCATCGGGGGAGACGTCAGGCTTGGGTTCGGGGCATTCGGTTGGCCTGTCTGACGGGGCCATCATGAAAATGACGAGA